TCTATTTGCTTTCCCTACACAAAATATCACTTTTTTCTTTTCCGAACAGCTCTGGTTTGGCAAAATTTAATTGCCTGTTTGGGATGAGGTCCCTGAAGCTCTCACAAGTTAATTATTTCTTTCTAGACCAGAAACTTTGAACTGTACTCGTGAGATAAATGGTCTGGTAGCACTTTGCAACTTCAAGTTATTTAAGCTACTGAGCAGCTCATCAACTTTCTCCTTGCATTTGGCATTGAATCTGGAAGAGAACCGAACCCCAGACATCATGAGTAGGCTGAGAAAGTAGGATATATAGATTTAATTCAGAGCAAAGTATGTTCCCAGAGATAGAACCTCTGGTGACGGCTTCCAGGTAAACATATAGCGATGGATTCTGAACCTAGATCAAGAGAAGGGGAAGAATGATACAATTTCTAAAAACCAAACTGCTCATTGTAAGGCAGGTTCTGTTCGTTATGTTTTCTGGACAAGTGAGGGGTAACCAAATGGCTTTGGGCTTCAACTCCAGTTTAATGCTTTTGAAACGCTTTAGTGGGTAGAGTAACTGTCATTAGATCTTTTTGCTGACTGAAGAATGCTCAAGACGTTGGAGTCTTCAGACTGTATATTTTCACATTCTGACACTGAAAATAGGTAGTAGGGAAGAGTGGGAAACTGTGTGAGGTGTTCCCAGGACACTTCCTTCAAATCACTCAGTTTACTTTAAAGCCCTGGACACAACATGGTTTATTATCATTTCCGTCTTTTTTAAGTGACAATTTGGTTTAATTGTGTTCCAGTTCATCAAGACGAGGTAATAAATAGATAAATATTGCCAAGAGGCAAAAGGTGTTAATCTAGAAGTTCTAAAATTGAAACAACCTAAGGGTTTTGATGCAAAGTATTTGAAAGACCTCAATCCTCCTTATGTTATAACTTTTCTAGGAAAGATAGAACAACGATGTATGTGAGTCAAAGGTCAGTGAAAGAAATGTTTGTATAAGAAATTAAATAATATAATACCATCAACACGGGCTGTACATCAAAGATTTGGCAATTGTAACTTGACCTAATTTTTTTTTAAATCTTTTTTTCTTCAGGTTTCCAGGCAGTTGGGAGTTTGAGAAGCTGGAAAGGCTTTTGAAATCTCATCAGGAGAGTTTTCAGGGAGATTGTCAGAGTTCCAAACCTGACAACTGTTAGAAAATTGATATTTTTGGCAGTCTCATTCTGCTCCATCTACTAGTACTTGAGGAGAACCTCCAATGGTGAGTTAATATCAGAAAAAAAAGACTTCAATTTCTTTCATTCCCTCTCCTACTTTTTTTTTGAATCTCTAATCATTTATCAGACATGGGCAACCTCCAGGAAGGCAAACGGCAGCTATTAGTTGAAAGAAAAATTAGGCTATATAAATAATTGCAGGCAACAAGACTAAGATGGGAAACATTCTTCTTTAATGATAGTTTTAGGATAAGACAATCAGCACTGTCTTTGGAGAGCAGGGCCCACACTAAATGAAAAATATTTCCCTTGATTTAGATGGTGAGAAGCCTTTGAGTGTGAAATGGAAGTTGTCATCAATTCTAGTTCCATAGTTTCAAACACAGTACTAATGAAGGCAAGTTCATAGGTTCGATCCCAGTTTCTGTCAGTAAGCTTAACACCATTAAAAACAGATCTTCCCACATCCACAAAGACTGAGCACCAAATTTTAGTCAAATGGCTCATCAGCTTTTTCAGTGAGGTTCAGGAAAGACGAAGGGATAGACTCTATAAAAAGTGAAAAGAAAGTGAGTCGCTCAGTTGTGTCCGACTCTTTGCAACCCCATGGGCTGTAGCCCGCCAGGCTCCTCGTTCCATGGGATTTTCCAGGCAAGAATACTGGAGTGGGTTGCCATTTCCTTCTCAAGGGGATCGATCCTGGGTCGTCCTCACTGCAGGCAGGCTCTTTACTGTCTGAGCCACCAGGGGAGCCCTAAACTCTATAAACCCAACCTCAAAACTGGAGAAACGAAACACATCTTTCAGGTCATTAAGAATGATAGGTTTATGTAAAAAAAAAAAAAAAAGAATGATAGGTTTATATAAGGAGATAAAACATTTGATCAATATTTAATATTCAACAACAAAATCAATGTGTTTTATAGCATTCTAGGAGCAACAGAAAATTTTAAATGGCATAATAATCAGCAGTCTATATCTATGCAAAACCACTTCATCCTTCCATCTGCAGCTTGTTCACCATCTTTCTAGATGTTCTACTGTGAATGGCCCATATATAGGTAATTGAGAGCTAAACACAAACCACTCAAATTTCAGGTATGAGTGTGTGTGTCAGTCACTCAGTCGTGTCTGACTCTTTGCAACCCCATGGACTCCTCTGTCCACAGGATTCTCAAGGCAGGAATACTGAAGTGGGTTGCCACTTCCTTCTCCAGGAAGTATGAGTGTACTAACTTAAAACATAGGCTTCAGAGCATTGTTTCATATAGTCATGTGACTCTAATCTTTCTGCATTTTCCCTCTGTGGAAATGACTATTTCAATTTTAGCTTGGGAAGGAAGAAGCAATCCAAGGGAAACCTCTTTCTCAGAGTACCATGATAAATGAAGACAAAATCAGCGTTCAATTTCTCAAGCTATGAGCACACTCCTGTGAAGGCAACTTACTATTCTCCCTAACCCTTACATGGGTTTACCACTTCACAAGTGGCATGCACTTTCACTTCCATGAATGTACCATTCTTGTGTACTTAGTCTATCTGGGAGGCTGAACAAATATAGAACTAGACACAGGGATAGGTTACTTGGACTCCAGGACAGAGAAGTGGGAGATTTATAGAATCTTCTTTGCTAAAGGCTTCTAGAGACAAGTGAGTCTCCCATTTCAAAGATGGTTAGAGAAATTCCATCCCTTAGTAAACCCTTTCTGTAGCCCACATGCTTCTCCAACAGTGGAGGAGAATGCAGTAGATTCTTCCTATTCTGAGGAGTGTTAAGTTTTGTTTTGTTTTCATCTTAATTGAGGGAAATCAGAGAATCCTAGCAAGTTAGAGCTAGAAGGACTCTTAAAGATCACTTAGTTTAACTAGATTGCAAATAAAAATCTCAGCCAGTGAAGGGAAGAAACCTATCCAGAGAAATAGCCAGTGAGTAGCAGAAACTTCAAGGAATGGATAGAAGAGAAGGGAAAGTTGCTGTCATGAAGGCATGTATACATTAGGGGGTGCTTGGCATATAAACAGCATTATCTAGGGAAGAGGCAGGTGGAAAGAGGGCCTGTCTTTTAGTGTGGAACAGCTAAAGAGTTGCATTTACACATTCATTAAGCAGATAATTCTTAAGAACCTTCCGTGTATCAGGCACTATTCTAGGTTTGGGGCATGCAGCAGCAACTTCATTGAGTGTATATTCTAGTTGAGAGAGATAATTAAAAACATAATTAATAGATAAATATATAATGTGGTAGAAGTAATAATTCTAAAGAGAACGATCATGTCGAAAAGGGGGACATAAAATGCCAGGGGTGAGATGTAAAGCTTTTACACGGGGTGGCCAAAGATAAACTGACCAAAAAGATGCATTGTGAGTAAAGACTTGAGAGGAGTGGGAAGGTAAGCCATACAAGGACCTTGGTTTCAGATATATGGAGTAACAAGATCAAAGAGATCAAAGGCTCTGAGAAAGGGATGAGCCATGGTATTTAAGGAACAACGAGGAGGCCAGTGTGACTAGAGCAAAGTAAGCAAGGAAAAGAGTAATAGGCACTGGGGTCCTAGAGGTAACGGGAAAGCAAACCATGTAGCACCTGATAGCTTGTAGTAAGGAGATTGGTGCTAAATTGGGTTGAAATAAAAAGCTATAGAAATTTTTTAATGGAAGAGTAATCTGATCCAACTTGCAATTTAGCTGAATCATTTGAAGTGAATGGGGGTAAAGCCAGAAAGAGGGAAACCAGTGAGGAAGTTGTTGGCAAAATTCAGGTGAGTGATGACAATGACTTGGAATAAAGAATAGCAGTGCAAGTGACAAGAGGAATAGTTTGATTCTGAATAATATGTGTGACCTCCCAGGACTTTATATATTCATCTATTCATTCCATATCTATCAGTACTTATGATGCCCCAGGCACTGTCCTAGGTACCAAGGACAAGCCAGTTTAAAAAAAAAAAAAAAAGACAAGGTTCAGTCCTCAATCAATTTACATTCACATGGCAGACAAGTAATTAAGTACTAAACAATCAAATCATTAATGCAGTTTCAAATATTGGAATGTGCTATAAGAAAAATTAAGCAGCATGAGGGGAAAGAGAGTGATAAAGGTGAGAAGAAAGTGCTTTTTCAGGTAGGCTGGTCACTTCTTACCACTCAAACTTTTAGGAACATCATTAGATTGTGACATTCTTAACTGGGGTCCTGCAATCACAACATGGAAAACACCAGAGGAGCTGGAAATGCAATTCCAACCATGGACATTAGCAGAGAGTTTTCACAGACCTCAAGGGTTCTACGATAAACCATATTTACAGGATATCACTTCAGACCAAAGAAATACTTGGCAGGACTCTATGACAAGCACCGTAGTAGATACTAGCAAAATGGAAGAATGGAGATATGAACAACTTAGGAGTGAGAGACACAAGAATAGGCAATATTTTAGCTAAGACTGTCAGAAGGTACTGTCTTGGTGGAGGTAAGTAATGCAAGCTGACAGATGTTCAACCATTTTTATGAATCAGATTTGTCTTGGAAAGTGAACAAGTGAGAGAAGCAGAAAGATGCCCTCCTTTTCCTCTCTTCTTACTTGGAAAAAAATGAAACAAAAGGCATCTGGCAAAAGTGGGTTGGAGAACTTTTCATATAACCATTTCAAAAGGATGGGAATTGGCTGTTTTCCAGGGGAGGGAGTAGATTTTTAGCTTTGCCTCTGTTCCCATTATAGATATCTCATTTGTATTCTTATATCTCTTGAAGAAGACAAAGAGAATGATCCTGTACACCCTAATTATTTCCAAATTTCTTATACCATCCTTCCATGTTTATTCTCATTCTTTTAGGTAAAACTAGACAACTACATTGGCACCCATTCAATGAATAGTGGAAAGTGGAATGGAAGGCCATGGATAATGCTACAGCAGTATTCAAGTTTCTCCTTATTGGAATATCTAACTATCCTGAGTGGAGAGTCACATTTTTCACATTGGTGCTGATCACTTACCTCAGCACATTATTGGGGAATGGACTTATCATCTTTCTTATCTACATTGACCCTCACCTCCACACTCCAATGTATTTCTTCCTTAGTAACCTGTCTTTCTTAGACCTTTGCTATGGAACAGTCTCCATGCCCCAGGCTTTGGTGCATTGCTTCTCTGCTCATCCTTACCTTTCTTACCCACGATGTTTGACGCAAATAAGTGTCTCCTTGGCCTTGGGTACAGCAGAGTGCCTCCTACTGGCTGTCATGGCCTATGATCGTGTGGTTGCTGTTGGCAATCCCCTGCGCTATTCCGTGGTCATGAATGGCTCAGCGTGTGTCTGGCTGGCTGCTACCACATGGGGGGCATCTCTTGTGCTCACTGCCATGCTCATCTTATCCCTGAGGCTTCACTTCTGTGGGGCGAATGTCATCAACCATTTCGTCTGTGAGATTCTCTCCCTTCTTAAGCTGGCCTGTTCTGATACCAGCCTCAATGAGCTTCTGATCCTCATCACAGGCATTTTTACCCTTCTCCTACCCTTTGGGTTTGTTCTCCTCTCCTATGTCCGAATTGCCACTGCTGTCCTAAGGATTCGCTCAGCCCAGGGTAGGCTCAAGGCCTTTTCTACCTGTGCTTCTCATTTGACTGTGGTGGTAATCTTCTATGGGGCAGCCATTTCCATGTATATGAAACCACAGTCCAAGTCATCCTCAGATCAAGACAAATTTATCTCAGTGTTTTATGGGGCTCTGACACCCATGCTGAACCCCCTAATATATAGCCTGAGGAATAAGGATGTTAAAGGGGCAATGAGGAAAGTTATGGCAAAAAAGACATAAGTCTTCTTTGCTTCTAAACTTCTAAAATACCATTCAGCTACATCTTCAATGATGGTAAACCACTACAATATTGTAAAGTAATTAGCCTCCAACTAATAAAAAATAATTGGGGAAAAACTGTTTAAAAGTTCCAAATTTACCTTTGGTTGTTGTCGTTCAGTCATTAATACAGCACGCCAGGCTTCCCTGTCCTTCACCATCTCCGAAAATTTGCTCAAAAATGTGACCATTGAATCAGTGATGCTATCCAACCATCTCATCCTCTGTTGTCCCCTTCTCTGGTAGCTCAGACGGTAAAGAATCCACTTGCAATGCAGGAGACCCAGGTTTGATCTCTGGATCAGGAAGATCCCCTGGAGAAGAAAGTGGCAACCCACTCCAGTATTTTGCCTGGAGAATTCCATGGACACAGGAGCCTGGCGGGCTACAGTCCATGGGGTCACAGAGAATTGAATACGACCGAGGGATTAACACCTTTACCCTTGGTACAGTAGGTGACAGTCATGTGAGAATCTTCAGGATGTGCTCACCACAAAATCTTATTCCTACTGAAACTTCAATTTCAGTTACAGACAATACTTTTTGGGGGGCTTCCCTCATAGCTCAGTTGGTAAAGAATCCGCGTGCAATGCAGGAGAGCCCAGTTCGATTCCTGGGTTGGGAAGATCCACTGGAGAAGGGAAAGGCCACCCACTCCAGTATCCTGCCCTGGAGAATTCCATGGACTGTATAGTCTATGGGGTTGCAAAGACTCAGACACAACTGAACGACTTTCACTTTTCACTTTCACAATATTTTTACTCTTTCTTTACATAAAACACATTAGTAGCCACCCTTTAAGTTACTCAACTTCAGGTAAACAAATTTCTCAGAATCATTTCCTCACTGACAGAAGAGACCTAAGCTGTAAGACAACTTCCTATGACTGTTAGCAGGAGGTGGGGCATAAGTGAAATTGAAAATAGGACGAAGAATGGTGTAATAAAAGGCCAGAAGACAAATGTCAGAAATTTTACAACTTTACTGAAGGCAAGGCCTGTTGTAAAAGCACGATTCTCTCTCCACTTAACCTCAGAATCATGAGAAATTTGTATCATAGCCATTTCCTACATTAATGTAGTGTTTCATTTTTTTCTTTTTCTGAACTTCTTTCAAATATATTATCTCATTCTGTATTCCTACACTTGATCTTAGCCAAAAGGCCGAGAAGTGATCATTCTGTATTTGTAATATTGCTGTAAAGCTGGTAACAAAAGTTACCATAATCCATCCCTCATGTTAACAACGAGACAAACAGAAGCCCAGAGAAGGATTAACAATTGTCTAAAGCCTCACACAAAACAGAAAATTGGACGAAAGATTTACTGAGCATGGCCTCGCCCATCAGAACAAGACACAGATTCCCTCACAGCCAGTTCCTCCTATCAGGAAGCTTCCACAAGCCTCTTATCCTTATCCATCAGAGGGCAGACAGAATGAAAACCATAATTACAGAAAACTAACCAAACTGATCACTTGGCCCACAGCCTTGTCTAACTCAAGGAAACTATGAGCCATGCCATTTAGGACCACCCAAGATGGACAGGTCACAGTAGAGAGTTCTGACAAAACGTGTTCCACTGGAGAAGGGAATGGCAAACTACTTCTGTATTCTTGCCTTGAGAATCCCATGAACAGTATTAAAAGGCAAAAAGATAGGACACTGAAAGATGAACTCCCCAGGTCAGTTGGTGCCCAATATGCTATTGGAGAAGAGGGGAGAAATAGCTCCAGAAAGAATGAAGAGGCTGAGCCAAAGGGAAAACAATGCTTAGTTGTGGATGTCGATGGTGATGGAAGTAAGTCTGATGCTGTAAAGAACAATATTGCATAGGAACCTGGAATGTAAGGTCCATGAATCAAGGTAGATTGGAAGCAGTCAAAAAGGAGACGGCAAGAGTGAACATCGACAATTTAGGAATCAGTGAACTAAATTTCAAGGGAACATTTCATGCAAAGATGGGCACAATAAAGGACAGAAATGGTATGGACCTAACAGAAGCAAAATATATAAAGAAGAGGTGGCAAGAATATGTAGAACTATACAAAAAAGATCTTAATGACCCAGACAACCATGATAGTGTGATCACTCACCTAGAGCCAGACATCCTGGAGTGTGAAGTCAAGTGGGCCTTGGGAAGCATCACTACAAACAAAGCTAGTGGAGGTGATGGAATTCCAGCTGGCCTATTTCAAATCATAAAAGATGATGCTGCAAAGGTGCTGCATTTTATATGCCAGCAAATTTGGAAAATTCAGCAGTGGCCAAAGGACTGGAAAAGGTCAGTTTTTATTCCAATCCCAAAGAAAGACAATGCCAAATAATGTTCAAACTACTGCACAGATGCACTCATTTCACATGATAGCAAAGTAATACTAAAAATTCTTCAAGCTAGGCTTCAACAGTACATGAACCAAGAACTTCCAGATATTCAAGCTGGATTTAGAAAAGGCAGAGGAGCCAGAGATCAAATTGCAAACATCTGTAGGATCATAGAAAAAGCAAGAGAATTCCAGGAAAAAAAAACTACTTCTGCTTTATTGACTACAATAAAGCTTTTGACTGTATGGATTACAACAAACTGTGGAAAGTTCTTAAAGAGATGGGAATATCAGACCACCTTACTTGCCTCCTGAGAAACCTGTGTGCAGGTCAAGAAGCAACAGTTAGAGCCAGTCATGGAAAAAAAGGACTGGTTCCAAATTGGGAAAGGAGTATGTCAAGGCTGCATATTGTCACCTTGCTTATTTAACTTTAACTTATATGCAGAGTACATCATGAGAAATGCCAGACTGGATGAAGAAAAAGCTGGAATCAAGATTGCTTGGAGAAATATCAATAACCTCACATATGCAGATGACACAACCCTTATGGCAGAAAGTGAAGAAGAACTAAAGAGCCTCTTGGTGAAAGTTAAAGAGAAGACTGAAAAAGCTGGCTTAAAACTCAACATTCAAGAAACTAAGATCATGGCATCCAGTCCCATCACTTCATGGCAAACAGATAGAGAAACAATAGAAACAGTGACAGACTTTATTTTCTTGGGCTCCAAAATCACTGCAGATCATGCGTGACTACAGTCATGAAATTAAAAGACACTTGCTCCTCAGAAGAAAAGACCAACCTAACCAACACATTAAAATGCAGAGACTTCACTTTGCCAACAAGGTCTGTCTAGTCAAAGTTATGGTTTTTTCCAGTAGTCATATATGGATGTGAGATTTTGACCATAAAGTTTAGTGCTGACAAATTGACACTTTTGAACTGTGGTGTTGGAGAAGACTCTTGAGAGACCCTTGGACAGCAAGGAGATAAAACCAGTCAATCCTAAAGAAAGTCAGTCCTGAATATTCATTGAAAGGACGGATACTGAAGCTGAAGCTCCAATACTTTGGCCACCTGATGCGAAGAACTGACTCCTTGGAAAAGACCCTGTTGCTGCGAAAAATTGAAGGCAGGAGGAGAAGAGGACGACAGAGGATGAGATGGTTGGATGGCATTATGGACTCAATGGGCATAAGTTTGAGCAAGCTGCAGGATTTGGTGATGGAAAAGGAAGCCTGCTGTGCTATAGTCCATGGGGGTGCAAAGAGTTGGACATAACTGGGTGACTGAACTGAACTGAAAGTCATACATAATTGGTAACAGAATAAAAATTAGAATTCAGATCATCTATATGCCACCTCTGAACTTTTCAATATTGTCCAGAAAAGTATCTGGAATTTTAAAATTATAAATGCACCCAACATTTATCGAGCACCTAACCATATACTAGGTACTGAGCTATGTCCATTATCACATATAATTCTCACTACAATTCAGGGAAGTATCGCTATTATCAATCCATAGTAGAGATAAGGAAATTGAGACTCTTAGAGGTTCAGTGATTTGCCCATGGCCATAGAGCCAGTATTTAAACCCAGATATGACTGATTTCAGATCCCATTCACTGTATCCAAATTTCAGAGGCCTTAGAGATTATTTAATGCAGTGATTTTTAACCAGTTTTATTTTGATATAATTTATGCACAATGAAATTTATGTGATTACAGTGTACAATTTAAATTTTGACAGGTACCCCCAGAACCACCACCACTGTCAAGCTACTAACAGTTTTATCACATCCAAAATTTCCTCATGGTCTTTTGTAGTCCACCCTTTCCTCCACCCCCAACCCCTGACAACCACTCATCTGATTTTTTTCACTATATGTTAGCTTTGATTTTCTAGAATTGACTATAAGTGGAATCATACAGTATATCCTTCTGTGCATGACTTCTCTTATTTAGCGTGGTTTTGAGATTCATCCATGTTCTTGCAGGCATCAGTAGTTTGTTCCTTTTTCTTGCTGAATAATATTCCATCATACAGTTTACTGTGTTTTTAAAACTCCATTCCCTGTAACTGTACATAATATAGTGGTTTTTAAACTTTAGTTTATGCAGTTCTATGGGTTTGGCTGTGGTGCCTGGAACCTGTCAATGGAGGTGAAATTTTCTGTGAAAAATTTCATTTGAAAATGGAGTTCTGACAATAAAACATTTGACAAACAATGATCTATTACAGAGGTCTTGCTTTAGGTAAAGAATCAATGGCTCAGTGAACAGAATGTAAATTTCCCAAGACCATGAAACTTTTTGGAAGCAATCTAAGACTAAGACCCAGATATCTTGTCTCCTGGTTTCACTTTTTGGGCAATTCGACCAAAGATGATGAAGTCTTCTCCCAAGCAACCTGATGGAGAACTAGACATAGATGAATAGATAAAAAGATGATGCGCAGCATCTAGATCTGAAGTACAGCATCACTGAGCAAGCAGATATTCAATGCACTCATCAGACACTGACCGCTGGGAGTTGATGCCACTTTGTTTGGTACTGAAAAGAGAGTACCAGACATACAAGGGAAATGTCTCACATGTTTACTCACTAAATAAATAAAAAGAATGAATAAATCACTTATCAAAATAGTATAATTTTCAAATAC